CTTGTCCGGTAAAAGTGCAATCACGCGAGAAAGTCAGGGGTCGGAAGGTGTGTCCTTCCTCATCGACCTGTAGGAGGGGGTCATACCACTTATGGAAGTGAATGGCCGCCGCAATGGACGGATATGAGGAAGGATCGGCTTGCATGTCACCTGCAAGAATGATAGGGATGTCCCCAAACTGGGCAACAATCTCAAACACATCTGAAAGGAGGAGGTCATTTTCCTGAAAAGTATCATGACATATGGATGCACCCGACTTAGCATAGATCGAGAACACCAAAGCTCGAACGGTGGGAGAAACCTGCGTCCAGACGGCGTTGACCCGTTTGGTTGCAAAAACCTTGGCATACTTGCCCGAAATGTCATCTTCAGGAAGAAAGGCTCATGTGTGAGTGTTTGGGGCCAAAATGGCCGTGCCTCCATGCATGGTGGTGTGAACACCGTCAGTGCGCAAGATTCCAGACATCAATTGCCCATGAAATAATGACTTCCCAACCTCCTCAACCGCTCTAGACGACGCACGGACGTTATTCTTACCTATCTGTGTTTCTTGAAGACACCAAAGCGAATCTTCATTACTTTTCCAAACATGTGATGTTTTAAGACTGCCAATGTTGGCAGTGCAGAGGCTCCAAAGAGGGCGACTATTGCTTTCTGGTCCTTCCCCCGGAAAACCGATGGTTTGGTCAAAGTCAAAGAATGACCCGAATCTGAAAAACGGTGACTGAGTGGCGCACAGGCTTTTTCTCGCTATAGTGAGGTCTGTGTTGCGGTACAAATTGGCAAAAGGACAATGAGCTGCTACAATCACTGGATGGACTGGCAAAACCACGAAAAGTTGCCACAAGAAAAACACACCAAAGGCTCCTCAGTGGTGAGAGCAGGCATGCCAGATGAGCTAAGTCCAATGTGGGAGCCGCAATGGAAAATCCAAAGCAGCGAATCGAACATTTCACTGGCAAAAACACGCATTGAACATTCGAAGAAAACAGGAGGTTGGTCCCCCATAGGAAGCTATTGAAGCAAATGAGAAAACGACAATGCAGGAGCATTGTACCCCAAAAAGGGGGCAGTGAACGACTGGAGAGGCCCTCTGGGGGCAGACAGCACGCAAAAGCAACAGAAGCCAATGAGGCAAGACAACGAAAAACCACGAGAAGTGCCATGAGGCAGCTGTCAAGAAATCCAGAGGGTGCACCATCGAACGCCGCCCACTGGCGTCAGAGGGAGGCATCATGCCTTGGGTGTTTGGGGGCGGGAGTATCCCCAGTGCTCTCACGCTGATGGATGCCAGATGCATTCAAGAGTTGCCTCAGGGATGTCGAAATTTCAGAAAAGCGTGCATCGACCTTTTCTTCAATCCGAGCTTGGCGACCCTCTAGTTTGTCAAATCTGTCTTCCAAGATCTGCAGGCGTTGAGCATCGACCGATAGCCCTCCAGAGACAGACCCTCGCTGGGCCTGGGGCGGCTCTGTACGGACAGTGGCAGTTGTCGACTGGCGTGCGATGTCATTGGACTTGCCGAAAGGCTTGACCTGCTGGCGACCAGTGGACCTCGGCTTCACAGACTTATCTTCTTCTACGAGCAAGATTTCATGCGTAGAGGAATTGATCTCTAGTGTGAATCTCAACGTGGACGGCCGAGAATTGAATCCCAGGATCCAACCATGCACTCCTTGTGTGCGAAAGGCTTTTTTTGGCACTGGAGCAATGCCGACTGCTTGCAAAGTACATTTGACTACACTCGCAGGCTCGATTGCGGCTGGCCAGCCTGTGCTCTGATATTGCACTTTGGGAACAACAGCAAGGTTGTCAGGGGTCAAGCGCACATCCGTGGGCAAAACTGCTCGGCGGACCGAGGCAATGTCCGAATCCCAGGCCCTTGCAGCCAGGCCACGGCGTGTCAATGCAAGGCCCGCAATGCCTGCCACATCCTTGATGATAATACGCACCTGGCACAGGTCACGGACCGATGGTGGCCAGAAACGAGGGACGACAGACATGTCGGAGGACTGTTCGGCTCTGTCTAGGAAGTCACGCAAAAGGACAGGCGACTTGCCACTCGAGCCCAGGGGGCTTTTGCGATCTTTTCTTGCTGCTTTCACAATGCATTGATACTGGATTTCATCTTTGGCAGCAGTTGGGTGCCTACCGGTGCGCAAGGCATAAAAGGCAAGGCTTCCAATGATGTCTGGATGAATGGTGCCGACATTAGTCTTGATGAAGAGGATTGGATCTTGCTTGGCACTTTCCAGTTCACTGGGGCTCAACAGTCTTGCGTCACCTTCGGCTACGATCTCTACCACTTCCGTGGCTGTGAGGGTGATCTTGGGTTTCGGCAACTTGAAGTGGATTTCACCAAAGATCGGCAGCATCATGATGAGACGGTTGTAGTCAGCCTGGAGCGTAGGGTCATGGAGCACGAGTTCGTGTGGTCCACTCAACTTCTTACCGAAATCTGAAGCTGCTAGCTTGTCGGATGCTGGCATGATGATTGCGGTGGGTGCATCGAAAGTGAGTCTAACCAAATCTTGGATTGCACCTTTTGTGGCTAAGATGACACCGGCTTTCCTGGACGAAGCTTGTAGTCGATGAGTCTGATTCAGTGATCCACCTTTGGCATCACAAATGGGGTGGACAAGGGGGAGAACGAGATCCTCCCACCGTGTGTTGAACAGGGCCTTTGGTTTCTTTTGCCACGGGTCACTCTTAAGCCAAGGGTCTGTCGGTGCCGGCTGTGCAGCTGGCGTGCTCGGCGGTGTGTGCACCTTGGTGGCAGGTTGCATGGTTGCATCATCGTCTGGACCCCCCGCAGCGAAATAGTTGACTGCAATTCTGCCTTCAAGGACCCTGAGAAGGAAGGACGTTCGAACATCAAATGCAAGGTCAGAGGTAGACGATGGAATGCCAGGCCGAGTCCAAGCCTGTGTGGCTCTGAAGCGAACATCACTGAGAAGACGACGATGTGGTGAGGCTTCGAACAGGTGCGAAGCCGCGAGGGAAGCATTTGGGACCGTTCTGCCGAAAGCAAGGTCCACCCACACATGTTTCTCTCAGTCTGGCACGGCACTGCAATGAGTTGGAGGTCGGATTCCTGAAGTCCAAAAAGCCTGGCAATGTGACCAAGGATGTCGGGAAAGTGCACAGCATACTCGGGGGGTGCAGTAATGGACAGACTGCGTGGCGCATTCCCTCCTGAACGCAACTCAACCAAAATCCATGATCTGAATTTCTACTTATTCTTCTTCACTAATAACCATGGGCGTATTAACATGCATGTGTTCAATGATATCAGATTTGATATTACCCAATTGTTCTATAGATTTATCCATACAATCCTCACCCCTATACAAATAAGGTGTGGATGTTTTATCAATTCTATTCACCACATTCAACATATAACCGCAAGGTTTATGCTCTTGATATGTGCCCTTAATCCCATCACAAGAAGTCACCGTCAGACATTCAAAATCTCCATAAATAACAAAAGGACATTCTAATTTAGTATTATACTTCTCAAATTCAATAAAAGAACCTTCAGGGGGTAGTTTGAATTGTTGCCCTGCAATTGCTAAACAACCCCTTTTATAATGTTCTTCCAAGCCCTCTTTTCTGCAAAAGGGATGAGAACAATACCTGCAGATATGTGTTTTATTGCTATCTTTATTCAATTGACAATTTATTAACCTACTCAAACTTCTTATTAAAGCCTAATGGTATCTATCTTTAGCATCAAACATTATCAATAAGTCAATATTATATTTAGCAATTTAAAACGTTGGTTGCTCTTGTTTTGATTATTTTGTTTTCATTAATAGCATCTGTTTCGAAAACATTTATTGAAACTGCACCATCATTATTCACTTCAAGCCTGTCAATATCTCTATTACCTGCTGGAAAAATGGACACCTTCCCAATTGATGATCTCATCCTTCAATTTGTTATAATGAAACATTTCTTCTGGGTGATGTTTATTAAGTTTATCAAAAACTACTGATTGAATACATAATACTTTAAACATTGGTTATAGTTATCTTTTTGATACAAGCCCTTTTTTGACTTAACAAAATTAGGTAACTCTACATATTTGCCTGCCCTAGTATTATATCTATCATAATGGATGGTAATAGAAACTACCGTTTAAAATTTTAGATTTGACCTTGAAGCCTCAATCTGTTCTAGTATGTCTTTTAATCTTCTAAAGCGTTATTCAAATCATCTTCATTATGAATGTTGAATCTTGTGGATGGTAAGTTATGAAGAATCTCAGACTCACCTATATCCCCATCAAAATCTTCACCATCATTTACATTAGGCTTACTAAATAATGCGTCCGATCTTATGTTGAGTTTCATATTATGATTTGTTTAAATGAATTTTACAAGTAATGATTTTTGATGTTGTATCATTGATAGGCCTTGTTATCCTTTAAAGTGCTTGTTTATGAGCTTAAGATTATTGGCATATCTTTTAAAAGCTGATTTACCTTTTTTCTACTCTGAGCCTATTTTTGATAGCATATTTGGTTAGGGCTTTCTTCATGCCCCAATGAAATTATCTTATGGCCGTAACTTCTATATCCATTAGTTTTCTTCACTGATTCCAATTTCTTTTTCAATCTTTTTGAGATATCTTTGTTTTTGTTATATCTGAATCTTTGATTGTCAATAACTATTGACTTTAAATCTTTGTTATATACCCTTTGGGAGTATTTCTGCTTTATTAATTTTAAGCAACGAATATTATTTTTGTTCATAATATACTACTATATTATATATTTTATACATTACTGTAACTACTCTTTAAGTATATATTCAATGATTTTTTACTTAAATAAAGTATTTATATATATTATAATGTGTAACAATAGGTGTTTTTATGAATTCTTGGAATATCTATTTTAAGAACTATTGATATTAATATTCAATGAGTATACAGTACTTGGGGAAATACTTGTGTTAAGCCAAAACTAGCAAATGAAGGCAGACATGTCAAATAACTTAGTAGAGCTCAAAAATAGGTGAAAAAGTGCACTTCCACAGCCTGCCGGACTCTATTTTTATTGGTCCGAGAGGCTTGATCACTTTGACTTGCAGGTTTAAGCCGTTCTGCTCAGGCTTGATCGTGGACACCTTGACGAAGCGTGGCTTCTTCAGGGCTTTCGGCTTTTCCTCGAGGAAGTATATATATATATATACACGGAAACAACGGACTTCGGCGTTTCAAGAAAAATAACAAAAACGCATCAGTCTTCAATGGTTTTTCTTGGCCTCGTCTTTGTAGTTGGGATCATATTTGGCGAGCTCAAAGGATCGCTTCAAGGCATCCTTCCATCTGCTTTGCATCTTCTGCCGTGCAGCTGTGGAGGTCGTGGAGTTGAAGACCTCGTAGCCACCTGCCTGGGACCAAGCCACAAACGACAAGAAAGTCTTGATAAGAAATGTGCTTCAAGTTGGGAGATCACAAAAGTTTTGCTGAGAATGCTCAAAGAACAAGGATGCATTGATATGCATTGCCTTCTCAATCATCGCCCGCACAGACTCCTGTTAAACAAAGGTTCTCAGATGCACAGCAAGCTCCCAAAAACTGGCTTGGCGGCTTGCTGCTAAACGTTTTGATCGCTCTTCTTTCCTTTCTCTTTATACAGTATGCTTTGTCATCGGATTTCTCTCCTTGTTATGATAAAAGCCAACGCTAAGGCCAGCTGCCAACGCGGCTCCTAAAGCTGTTGCTTCTGCCATTTTGGAGCGTAGCACTGGCATGCCAAGTGCATCCGCCTGAGACGAGCGCCGGTTGCATTCCCAAGCGCTTCTGTTGTGAATCAAATTACATGTCCATGTGGGCTCACTTTTTGCATAATGCCAATCAGCCAACCAACACAAATACTGTACAAACAATCCAAGGCCAAGCACTTGCATCTGCATAAGGAGGTTGTTTACCGTCATTCCACCATCCACACGCATGTCAACTAGCCGAAGGCCGGTGTCTTGCTTCATAGCCTGCAGGGTCTAGAGCACGTTGAAACAACACAATGCCTCGAAAGTGAGTGCTGATTGAAATGATATCAAAATGTCATGCTCCACGAGCCTCCATGATATCCACAGCTTGAAAAGCTGTGGACTCCAAGGCCGCACGGCACATGTGCTCCTTGCTCGTGTAGAGGGTCATTCCTGCAGCATATCAAAACAAAACGTCAAGCAGCAAGGACGCTACTAGAGCCTCCTGGCATCGCTACTAGTAACAAGAAACCAGTAGGGGTTCCTGGCCGTACTACTGGGAGCAAGGACGCTACTAGGGGTTCCTGCCATACTACTCAGAGCAATGTTCGCCACTAGGAGCAAAGGGCATTGCAACTAGGAGCAAGGACGCTTCCGTCCGCTGCCACTCCTACAGCCACTGCCCTTGCATCGTCTCGCCAGTGCGGTGCAAAAAGGCCGCTGAAGGCAGGAATCAAGGTCAAACCTCCAGTGTCCTGTGAACTATAGGACCGGATGACCCCACATGACCACATGTACAACTTCACCAGACACAGGAGCGGACAATTGGTGGTTGGTGGTTGGTGGTGGTTGGTTGGTGGTTGGGGGTTGGTTGGTGGTGGTTGGTGGGTGCTTGGTGGTGGTTGGTGGTTGGTGGTTGGCGGTGGTTGGTTGGTGGTGGGTGGTAGTTGGTGGTTGGTGGGCAGTTGGTGGTTGGAGGGTGGTGGTGGTTGGTGGCGCCAGGGCGCACATCCGACCTGTTGGAGAGCACCAAGTACCGTGCCTGCCACGCAAATCACACAGGCAAAGCGCCAGGGCGTACACCCCTGGAGAGCACCAAGCGCTGCGCCTGCCACGCAAATCACACCGGCAGAGTGGTTGTTGGTTGGTGGTTGGTGCGTGGTTGGTGGTTGGTTGGTGGTTGGTTAGTGGTTGGTTGGTGGTTGGCGGTTGGTGGTTGGTGGTGGTTGGTTGTTGTTGGTGGTTGGTTGGTGGTTGGTGGTTGGTGGTTGGTTGGGGCTGGGGCTGGGGCTGGGGCTGGGGCTGGGGCTGGGGCTGGGGCTGGCTGGTTGGTGGTTCTGGGGCTGGGGCTGGCTGGTGGTTGGTGGTTGGTGGTTGGTGGTTGGTGGTTGGTGGTTGGTGGTTGGTGGTTGGTGGTGGTTGGTGGTGGTTGGTGGTTGGTGGTTGGTGGTTTGTTGGTTGGCGGTTGGTGGTTGGTTGGCGATTGGTGGTTGGTGGACGGGCGGCGGGAGGAGGAGAGGAGGAGGAGCAGAAGGAGGAGAAGAAGGAGCGGATACAGCACTAAAATCAAAAACCCCACACATCAATGTGAAAAAACAAATATGTTGAAAGCGACTTTTTACTTTATTTCATTGTAATGATGAGACACCAATCTGCCCAGCAAAAAACAATATCAATCTGGACCTAATGCCAAAGATTCTCTCAATCTGCTTTCCCTGCAACGAGTCTTTAGGCAGTCCTCCACCTTGTTGGCGAGGATTTCCACTTCCTGCGACCGCACTGAGCAATGTCCGGTTCACCCTCGAGAGTTCTAAGTACTCAGTTCCAGTTTATCGATAATTTATTTGCAACACTGAATTTTGCAACATATATATGTTGTAGAATTTGTTATATATGAATTTTATTGAATTTTGCCATGTAGGACTTGTATTCAATATCGTCTTGCCTTTCATCCGAGCTCCCTTTGCATACGGGCCTTGGAGGAAGCAATGATGCCCAAATTGTCCCGGAGCCATTGTACCACTCGCCCAGCACACGCCACGCTGCCTTCGAGTGCATACGTAGTTTTGTCCTCGAAAGTTCAATGTTTCATGGCTCGGTTCTCCCCAAACACGTGCAACCTGCTGTCCTCAGGGCTCAGCTTGTAGCCCACAGTTGTAAGCAGACCCTGCTTGGAGGGCACAGGATCAAAACCCGTGTTCAGAAGCATGAAGCATCCTGACGTTTTCCCGACACCATCTCAACATCAAATACTGGACCAAAAAGTTCGCAGCAACATCACCAGCATAAGTGTTGCTGCCAAGTGTCCCGTGCCGTAGGTGTTTTTGGACGTGCCCACATCCAAACACGCATGGCCAAGCAGGGCTGCATGCTGATCACCCAGAGCCCCGCTAATGGGCAGACCCTCAAGGTAACTCACCTGCTACAGAGCTGTCGCACAATAATCGCAAGGAAAAACCTGAATGTGTTGATATGTGTTCAATGAAAAGGTCCTGCCGTTCCAAGCGCAGGTTTTTAAGCTTTGCACATTTTTTACGTGGGCATAGATCTCTGAGTTAGACTTGATGCTGGGCAGGCAACTGGTGGAAATGCCAATTTGTCGACACACCTCAGCTGGCAAAAAAAAAATGTTGTCAAGGTCATTGAGTCTTCCGTTTGCCATTATATGTGTAGGTGAAAATGTCAGATATCAATATGTTGTCAACTATATATATATATATACATGACAGTAATCATACTGTGATTGTAGTTGGTGAGCATCGGCATGTGTGAGGACAAATTGGTCGGAGACACTGTTTCATCCCACTTGCAGGTGCTGATGTTCATGAGCATGTACCTTAAAGGTTCAGGGGAAGCAGTTCAAGTCAGCTGTGTCTCACTCACTGGTCAAGAAGGTGAATATATGGCTTGGATGTTTGAACATGTGTGAACTGAACACATAAAAACAAAAACAAATTCTGCATTCATCTGTGTTTAAAACGCTTGCAACTGGCACCGGCGGCATGCTTCGATCTTGGTTGGTCTTTGACTTTCCTGCCCCTTCAGATCCCTACTGTAGCAATGGCTTCAACCTCTATTTTCCGGACTCTGAGTCATGAGAACTGATATTAGGTCTTCTCACATCTTACATCCTCAACTTCACATCGTTAACATCTCACATCTTTTAACACATGTGTCTTCTGGCAAAACGATCCACCTAACACTCCGCCTTCCCCAGTCAAAACCTGAGGTCGCGTTTTAGAAACCGAATTGGCTAGCTCAAAATTTAGTTACAGTATTAAAATCTAGAAAATAGACTTGATATGCCCTGGACTCAGTAAGAGCTGAGGAACACTAAACATCCTTGGCCCAGCCAAAGCTTGGAACACCGATTCATGTTGAAACACCGATGAGCGAGACAATTAGTTTCTATTTAAAATCTATATAATCTAAAACATTGTTCTGGACAACATTGCGCATGAAGCGCTTGTCTTGAATTCTAAGACGCCGACCTCGAGGCATTGGAAACATCCGTGACATGGACCCCGCCAGCAGTGCCCCCACTCAGCTTGTAGATGAGCCAGCTCTCCTAAAAGCAAGGTTCAAAAAATATCATTGCCCAGGTTCTGTCCTACAACATTGCGTGCACATCACAAAATTCAGCAAAGTTGCTATTGTTCCAAAGCAACATCGCTCTTCGTCAGCAGCTTTCCTGAGGGCAGAAACTTCTCACAAGCACCAGAGATCTTGTGCACTTTGAGGCACGACATAAACATACTAAAACGATCTAAAACAAGCTTCAACCTTGCCAAGACAATCTAGGGCAAAAGCCATCAAAAGCCTATCCTTGCGTTGACAATTTCGAAACTGTAATCTGGCTTCCAAGGATCTTCACCTCGGCAACATGGTCCAGCATCCATCTCATCCTGGGCAGAAAGCTTGTCCAGGGGCGGCGTGGCTCATGGCAGCCAAGCAACATGACCAAAACCGGCTTGGTCGCTAGAAGCCCTTGCTGCGATCTTGCCGCCAGGCATCTTCACTGCAGAGAAGTAGGTCGAAATCGGAAGGCCTGTCTTCGGTCCTTGGAACTTTCCAGTCTGCAACAGAAAGTCCATTCTTGGACTTCTAAAACAGTCAGGACACTAAAACGGTCTTTTCCACCGGAAGAAGACAGCTTGGCAGCCGTCTCGGCAGTTCGCAGGTCTAGCCAAACAATCGCACGGCATAGTGGCTCGCCACTCACCTCGTGCACCAACGCGCAAACGAGGAACGCAAAGAAAATACAAGTCTAAACTTTTTGTGATTCATGTCGGCCCTTTTTAAAGGCATCCGCGCTTCAAAAAAGGAATACAAAGGCGAGAAAAGGATGCACGATTCTGCTATTGGCAATTGGAAATGTTGCCGATTGCCATTCGGCTCTGAAGACGCGTCGGAGGCACCTTGTCCCAAGCCACAGTGGTTTCGCGTTGATTGGTGATGCCTCGACAAAATCCAACAGGCTACAAACGATATACTGCATATTTTGTTTGAAGTTGTAGTCCAATCAAGAAAGTCAACACGGCACATTCCTTCCAATGGATCTTGTGCACTCTACTACTGAGAAAAGTTCAATCCTTCTCTCTGCGGCCTAGGAACCAATTCCAGCAATGTCATCCTTCTTGGCACCCGCTTTTTTCATCGCCAGTTCAGAGCAATTTAAGGCACTTTGCAAAATCTCGTTCGGATCATGTTCCGTCCACCCAGCTTGAGGATAGTACCTACGCACGCACTTCCCCTGCCAAACATGAGGGGGTTGCTGGCGTAATCTATCTGCAGAAATTAAAGTTGACACATCAACTCAGTGGGGCCAACCTCTGCGCCTCAACAACAAACAGATCATTCCAAAATGGTTCTCAGCCGCTGCAGGCTGCACTTCAAACCTCGTTAAAAATGATTCTGGGGCGCTCTAAATTCCATGTCAAGTTGCTGCGGAAATTCCTGCTGCTCCATGGCCTTCACCTACACGGCGCAGCAAATGGTCTGTTCCCTTTGTTGATTTTGCTAGCCTCCATAAATTTTACCCTGCTACCACCGTGTTTCGGCCCCTCCCGCGGCTCTCTCACCAACTTAAAAACGCACCCCTCAACTCCCGCCAATTCAACTCACACCTACTCAACTTGCACGAAGACAACTCGCGTTCTCTGCTATTCTGTGTTTTATGAGGTCTGCTGCTGCTGGGATCTCCAGCCACTCCATTCTGCAGAGGTTTTGCTCTGCTGGGTGTCGCCGGGGTTGAGGTTGGTGTCTCCTCCTTCTGCACTGCTTTCTGCTATGCCTGCAATCTCCCCTATGGGCGCATGAACGTCGCCACGTCAAGCAATCCGTGGCAGGAGCGCATACGTTGACAAAATGAGTCTTTGACAAGATAACACATTATCTTGAGCGACAGGAGTCCAGGTGCCTCATACCAAAGGGTGGGCGAGGCACCGGAAAACCAAGCTCCACTGCTGCGCTCCAGGCATTGTCACGTTGCGGAAGCCCAACAGAAAGCTCAGAAACTATGAAAAATGTGTTGAGATCAAAAAAACACGGGTCACTTGGGACAACCCTATTGCGCACCTGACGGTGCAAGAGGCCGGCATTGAATGTAGTCGAAGTGGCGAAAGCTGAGTCTGGAGGGGGGCCACAGACCGCGGCAGCAGCTCGTGGAAATGAAGAGCATGCGTACGTAAACGAGGCGTGTTGCTGGTGAGCGGGATAACTGGCGGTTTCCCACAAGAGTGTCCCACAAGAGTGCAACGATGCGAGAAGTAAAAAATGCGCAACAACAGAACCTATATGCGTGTATCTTTCTCACCCGGGCTGGGTGCGCAGGCAAAGGCCCCATCCACCTGCCCAAGCCCCGGCATCGTTGAGGTTCCGATTTGCCTGGAGCTCAGCCTCTGTTGGATGGTGGCGATCGGCCGACCCTTCGTTCAGGACTCCACTTGCAGCCCGCTTTTTTGTCAGCCTGGATCCCTCAAGGTTCCTGACGGTGAACTCTTTGTAGTTCCCGAAGGCTATCACAAAAGAAAACCTATGCCTAAACCTAAACTGCAGCTCTTGTGAGTGTCCCTTTTGGTACACATGCGTCACTGTGTATTTTGCTGTGCCATTTATATACTTCCCATGCTGCGCCTCCTCATCCTCAATCTCCCCTCACCCATGTTCACTCACACACCAACTCAACTCACAAAACCAACTGACATCAACTCAACTCACACATGAACCGACCTTTGCACGCCCCAAAAACGCGATGTCAAATTCCGCATGTGCTTTCCGAAATTGCATCTGTTGGTGCACATCAACTCCTGTCCAAAAACCTCGGAATGTCAATAAACAATTTGTGGGCACATTGCTTTGTCAGATTTTCATGTATGAAGATGAATAAACCGATCGTTGAAAGCGTCATGTCATCTTCTTCATCTTCGTTCCGATTTACCTTCCTCCTCACTATCTTCGTCATTAGCATTTATTGCAAAGCACAAACGTCGCACGCACGACACACACGTCATCGCGCATCCTCCAATCCCACCACCTCTCAACTCACATAAACTATCATAAACTCAATTATCAAATGAACCAATCCTTGCCACAAACTTTAGTTTTATGTCAATTGTCTAACCTTCCTTTCCGGACGTATAATATGTCTATATTTATACACACACACACACAAAAACATAGGCATCACACCGTGCAATCCGCCTCTCCTCATCCGCTGTTCGTCCTTCGCTATCCGCTTTCTGATTTCGTTTTTTACTCTAAATAAAAACTTGCGATATGGAGCTGTATATCCTTGTTTTTGATGTCAAGAATTCTGAGGACTCTTCAGTTCATGATTGAAACAGCCCCTGTCTTTGTCCTCATCTACGAGCGGTCATGGCTGCTATGAATGGTCATTAGAGTCATAAGTTTGGATCCAAGTTGAAAATAACTGGAAAATTTTGACAACTGGTTTGAGGCAATCACAGCCAACTGTCGAAATGCAAGCGATGAAAATGAAAGCACTCGAAACATTCGGCTCTTTTACGCAGATCGGCTGGGTCTTGCCACTGTCCTTGTGCAAAGTCGGGCCTTTATGGTTCTAGCCCAGACACACGGCTATGGCGCACACGAAGCTAGGATCGACGAAAGGGCCACTGACTTGCTTGTCACGCCTTCGCGCATAAGCCGCGGAGTACCTTAGCGAATCGTCCTGACAGCACGGGTTGGTCAATGTCAATCTGCATCGTCTGGAACCTGTTCTTCTCTCGCGCTCATTGCTTTTGTTGACCAACATTCGTCTTTCAGCTCTCTTTGCTCGTTGACGCTCTTTCAATCTCTGATTTGCGGCTGTTTGCACCAAAGAGAAAAGCCCTGTTCTCAAAAACTCAAAAAATGTATAAACTTGCCTGCTCCAGCTTTGGTCAAAATATTCGAAAATTTTTGCTGTCCATCAATTCACCTCGTGAAAGCTCTCAGTTTGCGAACTGTCTCGCGAAGTAAAGCACCTTCGATTGCCATGCGCTTGTCAGAACTTAGCGCTCGCTGCATGTTTGCTCAAAAAATCAAAGACACCTCTGGCGTCTGTGACACGAACTCTGTCACGTTGTTCAATGGTGGTAGGCCAGTTCTTCAAATCTAAAATGGAATGTTCGCGCAACAAAACTGTCACCCAATCTCCAGCTTCAACGGGTTCCGACAAATGGCTTGCTTCAACTGCCAAAGCGCTTCTGCAAACACGCTTTGTCTGACTACTATGGTAACAAACAATGTTTGCACGAACGGCCTCGCCTTGCAAGATACCGGGGTTTGCTATCAAAATGTAGTGGCCTCCAACACTGCGGTATCGAAGGATGTCGTTCCCCTCCGGTGTGCCAATTGCATGACCTCAATCTGCAAGATGTACAACAACACCGTGCTCCAAATCAACGTCTGTCCAATATCGCGTCTTCACGCTGGCTCCACGTCGAGCTGCTTCAACTGCATGTCTCAAGCGAATCAGATCTTTGCCGGTTGCGGATTTCTTACAGCGTTGCACACAGCCATTTTTACAGAAGGGGTGGCCATGGGGCCTGGGTTTTTTGTTTTCCATAAATTTCCATAAATAGGAGGTAAATGCATCAACGTTTTTTTGGTTTTTTCTGATTTTGGAGGGTCCAGCCAATAGTCTCTGAGAATTGTTTTTTTGTTTTTGGTTTTCCCAAGGTTTTTGTGTTTTAGCATCTGAGCTTACTTCTCATCTCAAGGCATCTGTTCTTTTTGCTTACATCTGAAACCGTCTCAGCTCAACACTTCCTTTGTCCTTGTCCAAATCTCCACATACAAGTCTGAGTGCATTAACTGCTGACTGGTATCAATGCGGTTGCCACTTCCATTTCCAAACAGCTTGACACGCCGTTGCGAGGACACTCTGTCCTTTACATGAAACGGTTGGAAATCTTTGCAAGCGTAATTCTGTGCTTGTAGCTCAAGCATTTTACATCTTATTCTGGCGAACTTGTAATTTTAATTCCAACTCCTTTCTAATTCAACTCTCATCTAATTTCAATTAGGCTAGTTATAGTTCAATACAAGTTTAGTTAAAATTCGGCTTTAATTCAGTTCTATCTTAGCTCTAACTCAAATCCAATTTAACTCTACCTAATCCTATTCTAGCTCTAGTCTATTTAGTTTAAGAAAACACATGCTACAAACCCCCGTGTTTTACAGTATTTCTTGCCCTGGAAGCGCTGCGAACAAGACTAAAACTCTTTTTTGGAATAAATAGTTAGATTTTTTGTTGACAGTAGCCACGGGAGATAATATAGACATATTGAACATGTTTTACGTACAAGCTTCTAATTCAAGAGCTTCCCTCTAGATCTCTGGGGGTGATCATTTGTACAATAAAACTATATATAAGCTCTCTTTTCAAAAGCTTTCCTCTGGATCTCTGGAAATGGTCATGTCAATTTTAACATGCTATATATCAATAAATACGTCTTTCTTTCAAGAGCTTTCCTTTCACGAACATACACATATATATATATCTATCTGGGATATCTACTTTCCCAGAGATCCTGAGGAAAGCTTTGAAAATGCAAGCTCTTGCCCGCAGAAATCTAGAAGAAAGCTTTTAACATACAAGGTTTCTAAATAGTTGTTTAGATCTAAACATGATTATCTGCAGAGATCTATAGAGAATCTTTTATAACATAAAAGCGTCTATACACAATCTTTCCAAATCTAAACATAATTATAAGCAGAGATCTAGAGGACAATTGTTAAAACAACCACTTTTATGGCCTGCTTCTTTTCTAATTATCTTGTTCAAAACCATCTGAATGACTGATTGCTGCTTCCGAAACAACCCAATTACCCTGACTGAGGAATACATAATATATTTGTTCATATAGAGTGAGAGCAAGAATAGATATGTGTGTTTATATGGAGAGGGGCTGCCACTGAAGCGTTTACCTAAAATTTTTTGGGAAACCAAAACCCAGGCCCCAGACCACCCGCTCTCCATTTTTAAATGCCAAATTGACTGCGCAACTGTCTGGCGATCCAACCAAGTTCTCCTGCGCTGGAATTGAGAGTTTCCAATTCAGCTGGCGTCAAAGGAGAGTCAGGTTGACTGCTGCGCTCCTTTGGTACATGTATCTTTGCCGTGCCCAACGCATATCTCTTCATTGTCACAGTGACCCCAGAAACACTTCCTGAATCGTCAAAATCTTCCGGAGTGTTTTGCTCAAGCGAGGGTTGGTTGCAAAACCCAATGATTTGGAACTGTTGCGGAACAGCTCTTGTTCAAGGCCTGGTTGTACTCCACCTTCTAAATCATCAACATGTGTCACGAGTACACCGTTCAAGCGACCACTGTCATCTCTGCGGTAGAACATGGCAGGTTCTAATCTAGACTCTACCCACCCGTCGCCCTCCAAATGCTCCTTCTGCAAGCCAGATCAATCTCTTGCTGCTTCTGCAAAACCCTATATTGCCCTGCGGGCTTTAAGCAAAACTCCCTTCTCACGCTCAATAGCTTTGCCACAAAAATAACCACTTCACATCTTCGCTGATCAAAATGAGTTTGTAAACGCCACAAGACGAAGCACGCTCTCTGCAATCTGTGACGCGGTTGGAGCGTCACGCCTCTATCGACCCAAGCTTTTGTCCTTAAAACCCTGCGCAACAAGCCGTGACTCTGATTTGAAAGGACCTGACACTGGATTCTCAGCTTTGTTTGTTCTCACCCAGCGTGTAGGAATGATGAGCTCCCTAACTTTAGGCGTTAAATCATCACAAGCCTCCTTGTTCATCCAGCCTTCCCACTCGCGCTGATCTGAACCATCTTTTTTCCAACAAATAATTCGCGCGCGGCGTCGTCGAGATCTTTCAAAATAATCGCCTTCCGATCCTTCTTCGCAGCATGGTGGTTGCAGCCACCAGGGCTAAGAGGTGTCGGACTCTGTGTCTTCCTGCGTCGAATGAAATGCCTCCAAACGATCTTAAAAAACGTTGCGTTCAACTCCAAACATGAAATCATCTTGAGAAATGTTCAACTGTTTGTAAAATTCACGTTTCAGTCCATACTGTGAAAGAGCTGCATCTTCCCAAACACGTGGATCTATCAAGAGTTGGTACGAAAACGTTGCTCCATCCGCCCTGCTAGAACGTGGTGAAGCTGTCCTCAACCTCTTGGCTTCACGCTCTTCACCTTCTTCACGAGAGGTCCTGGTTTCAACTGGTGGAACCTCTGGCGCTGGTGCTGACTGATGGTAATCACGCCGCTCAGGATCATATTCTGTTGGCTCATAGCTCATCAGATCCGGGTCATCGTTCAGACCTGCGAGGATATCTACGGGGTCTGGCGCTGAAGACTTCACTGTCTGAAACTGCCTTCTTGCTCCTGCGCCCTGCTCTCTCCGGATCCCTCTTCTGGAAGAAGTCACTGGAACGCACCATTCTTTTCCTATCTCTTTCAGACCGCTCACGGCCTAATCATTTCTTCTTCTCGTCCTCTGTCTCCGCCACAGGCGGCGGCGCCACGGGTGACGGCGCTGCCGTTCGAACATTCGACTCCTCTGTCTTCGCCACAGGTGGCGGTGCCACGGGCGACGGTGCTGATGCCTTGCATCAATGAGGTCTGTCTGTCTGCTTGTAATCATCCAACGAACCTCCTCATCATCCGCTCGGCTCA